GTCAGGGGGGCCGTGGGGGGCTGCGGGGGCCGTGTCTGTGCCGTGTCCCAGGGAACTCCAGACCGTGCTGGGGCTCCGCGGCCGAGCGCGGGGGGCACAGGGACGGGCCCGGGGTGCGGGCAGGACCCGGGGGGACGCGCTGCTGGCACCCCGCCACCGGGGACCGTCAGCACGCGCCAGGACACCGCACCCGGCCCAGTGCGGCCGCACGCTCCGTGCACTCGGCTCCTGCGGCCCGGCAGCCTCCAGTACGGCCCAGTACTGCCTAGTACACCCCAGTATGGCCCAGTACGGCCCAGTACTGCCCAGTACACCCCAGTACGGCCCAGTATACCCCAGTACGGCCCAATGCAGCCCAGTATGGCCCAGTACACCCCAGTATGGCCCAGTACACCCCAGTACCCCCCAGTACAGCCCCAGTACAGCCCTGTACAGCCCAGTACACCCCAGTATGGCCCAGTACAGTCGAGTGCAGCCCAGTACGGCCCAGTACACCCCAGCACAGCCCAGTATCCCCCAGTACGGCCCAGTACAGCCCAGTACGGTCCCAGTACCCCCCAGTACACCCCAGTACAGCCCAGTACACCCCAGTACAGCCCAGTACCCCACAGTACAGCCCAGTACGGCCCAGTTCACTCCAGTATCCCCCAGTACAGCCCAGCGCCTCCCAGTATGCCCCGGCACGTCTCTGCAAAGCCCGTCCCGCTGCAGCCGCGCGGGCTCGCCCGCTGTCAGCAGCTGCAGTGAGCTGTCACTGCTGTCATTAGCGCTAATTAGCCGCGGCCGCCCCGGGGCCGCTCGGCCCCGCCCCGCCCTCGCGCCGCGCCTTGTATGGAGACGGAGCCGGCGGCGGCCGCCAGGGGGCGGGGCGCGAGGGGCGGACCCGGGCAGTGACGTCACACCGGGGGGGCTGAGTGATGTGACGTCACGGTGGCCACGAGCCCATCGCCTGGCCGGGGCCCGGTTGCCGTGACGTCACCGCCGGGGCCGGGCGCCTCCCGCCGTGCCCCGCGGCCGGAAGTGGCGCGCGCAGGGAGACGTGTCGGAGCGGCGGGGCCGGAGCGTGAGCGCGGGGAACCGGGGACAGAGCGGGGCACCCGGGCAGGAACGGGAATCGGGAGCAGAGCGGGGCACCTTGGGGGCCGGGCAGGAGCAGGAACCGGGAGACTGGGAGGCCCGGGAAGGAACGGGTACCGGGGGGCCCGGGCAGGAGCGGGAGCGGGACACCGGGGGTTCCGGTCAGGGGCGGGAACCAGGACACCGGGGGCCGGGCGGGAACGGGAACCGGGGCACCGGGAGGCCCGGGCAGGAGCGGGAACCGGGGCACCGGGAGGCCCGGGCAGGAGCGGGAGCCGATGGCGGTCCCCCCGCGGGATGCCAGCGCGTCCGTTCCCCGTGGCCCGCAGGATGATCACGGACGTGCAGCTCGCCATCTTCGCCAACATGCTGGGCGTCTCGCTCTTCCTGCTCGTCGTGCTCTACCACTACGTGGCCGTCAACAACCCCAAGAAGCAGGAGTGAGGAGCCCGGGGAGCCCGAGGACCGGGGAGCCCGGGGAGCCCGAGGACCGGGGAGCCCGAGGACCGGGGAGCCCGCCCCGCCATGCCCCGCGCCGCCGCCGCCCGCCCGTCCCTCCCTCCCTCCCGCGGGGCCGCCGCCCGCGGGCCCCGAGAGGCGCGAGCCCGAGCTTCTTCCAGAGCGGCTTTAACGGAAACACGATGATACCCGAGAGAACCGTGTGACGTTCCGGGGCCGCGCGGGGCTCAGCGCAGCAGCAGCGGCGCCGTGGGCAGCAGCCGCGCCAGCGCCGAGCGGTGCTGGGGGGCGGCGGCGGCGGGGGACAGGCGCTGCAGGCACGGGGCGGAGCAGGGCCGCAGGAGCCCCGCCGGCGCCGCTGCTGCCCGGTACGGCGGGGCCGGTGCTCGGGATACGGGAGCACTCAGCACGGGAAGGGTCCGTCGGTGCTCAGCACCCGCACGGGGGGCACGGGGGGCGCCGGGCAGAGCCCTGTGGGACAGAGAGCGGTGTCAGCGGGGCACAGAGCCCCCTGCCCGGGTGTCTGGTACCCAGCTCTGCCTGCCTGGCAGGGGTCTGAGGTGAGCCTGCACCGCAGCTGGCAGCAGCACCTACCCAGGCCTGTCTGGGGCTCTGCGGGCGTTCAGCTTCATTGGGAGCACCTGTGGAGAGGGGGGAGGAGGATCAGTGCCAGGTGTTTGTCCCTGGGGTTTCACTGTGTCTCAGGGAAAGGTGTGTGGGACAGAAATACCTGGCATAGCCCCACAGCTGGGGGGGCTCGCAGCCCGAGGGACTCCCAGTGTTTGGGGCAGCCCCCCAGAGGGCCCACCCAGCAGAGCCATGGGGCAGCCCCTTCCCATCACCGGCCCTGCTGCAGCCCAGGTCCCCTCCCTGGTGCCTGTGGTACCTGCAGAGGTGCCGTGTCCTGGAGCCCCTGCACGCCTCGCTGTGCCTCCCGTGGTCTGTGGCCGGTGCTCGGCGCTGCCCGGGCGCCCTTGGGCACGGTCCCTGTGTGACAGAGGAGACAGCTCAGCCCGTGCTGGCGAGGGCTCAGTGCCACAGCGGAGTCACCAGCTGGGCTGGAGCCATCGCGGGGCACGGTGGCACAGCCGTGACACGGAGCCCTGCAGGGTCCCTCCCTGCCTGCTCTGCCAGGGAGGGCCCCTCCGCACAGCCCAGCAGCGAGGGGTGGCCCTGGCAGTGGCCCATACCAGCGGAGGATGTGATGGGCACAGAGCTCAATCCCAGCTCGTGCTGCCAGTGCAGAGGCTCTGCCCCAGCTCCAGCCAAGCTCCTGGCTTGGTGTCCCATGGCACTGGTGTGACCACGCTGGCCAGGCTCAGCCAGGAGTGAGGAGCTGGGGGCACGGCTGTGCCCTCTGAACCGGGGTATGTCCTTGGGCATGGGACATCTGCTCAGCCAGGGGAGCTGGGGGGAAAAAGGAAGGTGTTTGGGGGCCTGGCTGCAGTGGACAGCACCAAAGGAACACACCTGAGTTTCTGATCACCTGGGTAGTCTTTATGCCAACGCAGTTTTTTCCCCATCCCACAGAAGTGAGGTGAGGGGGCACACTGCCCTGTGGGGTGAAGCCAGGGCCAGACCCCACAGCAAATGGGACCTGCAAGCAGGAGCCTCTGCTGGGCGGGATGGGCCACAGCCCCTGCCTCCAGTGGGAGTACTGGCAAGAGGACTAGAACAGCTCAGCTGGTGCCAGCCTCGGCCAGCAAAGCCAGCAGCAGCTGGGGGTGTCACTGGGGGTCTGGCAGATGCCCTCACCCCAGCATGAACACAGGTCTGGGCTCCCCAGGGTGTGGCCAGGCTGCAGGGGGACATGGGGATGAAGGGGGAGGGTGGGACAAGAGCAGGGCAACAGGGTCTGCACCCTGTCACAGCTCCAAGCACACAGCTCCTTCCCCGCTGCCTGGGGAGGGCAGAGGCCGGCGTGGCACAGCCAGCCTGAGGGCACCAGCACCGGCCCTGGAAGGCAAAGCCAGGGCTTGGAGCATCCCTGGGCCCTGATCCCTGTGCAGACACAGTGCTGCTGACAGTGCTGGGCCCCTCGCACTGGGAGAAGGTGGTGGGAGAGCTGGGGTGGCCAGGCAGGAAGCAGGTCAAGCTGATGCCAGGGCAGGGGAGGAAGAGCCGGGTCCTGGTCCCAGTGCAGGGTGCAGTGTCCCCTGGGGCACTCACTCTGCTGGTCACTGTGCTGCAGGAGGCCCCAGCCAGTCGGTCCTGGGGACACCACGGACCAGGCTCTGCCCCTCTGGCTCACACGGTCTGTTCCTGCTCAAACCCCAACTGTCCCCAGCCCCTTCAGCCAGGGGTGGGGCCAGGGGTCGCTCCGGGTGGGCCCGGCCAAAGGAACAGACGGAACAACGTGCCCATGAGAACATCAGCCTTTTATTTCCTCCCCACCATGTTCTCATGGCAGACAAGACACAGTCATGACAGAGGGCTGGGCAGCAAACCCCGAGGACAACATGACAGACACCAGAGGAACACAGCTCAACACAAGCACAGCTTCAGGCACACAGGAGGCACCTGCCCCCAGCTCACACCCCCAGCCCTGGGCACTGGAAGGCTTTGGAGCACGGTGCCCCCAGGGCTGAGCCCCACAGTGGATGTGGGCACAGGGCTGCCACTGCCTGTCCCCCACGGCCCTGAGCCCCTGCCCCACGGTGGCAATGCCAGCACAGAGGGCATAGCCAGTGTCTTGCCTTACTCTGGCACCCCCCTGCAGGGATGCATGTTGGAAACCCTCCGGTGCCCCCTGCCTGCTCACCTCACCACAGCCACAGGTCAATAACCCCCTGTTGCCCAGCCAGTGCCTAAAGAGGGGAAAGGCACTTTGGTGTGTCCCTGCTGGCCTCAGGAATGCTTGGGAACAGTGGGAAGTTGAGCAAAGGTTTTCTGTGCTGGCTTCTGCAGAAGCCCCTTGGTCCTGGCACAGGAGGGGGATCATCTCCCTGCAGCCCCAGTGCGCAGGGTCCCCCACGTGCCAATGGAGCAGGAGCTCAGCTGGGCTGTAAAACTGCAGGCCTTGCTGTGCAGTGCCAGCCCTGAGCCCGCTCAGGTCCTCCTGTGGGGCCAGGCCCCTCACGCTCGCTGTTGCACACAAACCCACTGTCACTGTGTCCGTGCTGGCCTCCCTCAGGGCCGTGGGCCCGCCCAGCAGCTGGACAGGCGCCGCAGCAGGCGTGCAAGGGCTCCCCAGCCTGGCTTACCTCTGCCCAGGGCCGGGGTGCTGCCGCCACTCACGGGGCTCTGGGAGGCCGCGGCGGCGGCCGGGGGCCTGGGGCTGCCAAAGGTGAAGCTGGGGGAGGCCCGGATCCGGGGGGAGTCCTGCTGGCTGCCCCCGCTGCCACTGGTGCCGTTGCTGAAGCTCCTGGCGCGGGCCAGTGCGTTGTCAGAGGCCGAGGTGGGCAGCCCACTGCAGGGGTGAGAGATGGGGGTCAGCCCAGCACGGTGAGGGGGCTCCCCTCTGCGCCCCTCCACCCAGCACCACGGGCCAGCTCCGCGTGCTGGGGCTGCAGCCCCACCTCAGGCAGAGCCCTGGACTCCTCCTCGGGAGCTGGGGAACAGCTGGGGACAAGGATGCCACCAGGACTGTCCCTGAGAGCTGCAGCCCCAGTGCCCTGCGCTGTACATCGCTGTCCCAGCAGTGTTGTCTCAGGGTTCCCACTTCCTCACCCCCAATCCCAAATCAAGGAATTGCTGAGTTTGGAAAAGGCCTTAGACACCAACCCTCGCCCAGCACTGCCCAGGCCACCACTGACCCATGGCCCCCAGTGCCATATCCACAGGGCTTTAAATCCCTCTGGAAATGGAGACTCCACCCCTGCCCTGGGCAGCCTGTGCTGGACAGGCCTTTCCAGGAAGGAATTGTTCCCAATATCCAGCCTGAACTTCCCCTGGGACAGCCTGAGGCCATTTCCCCTTGTCCTGCCCCTCTTCCCTGGGAGCAGAGCCCCACCTGGCTCCACCCTGCTGTCGGGGAGCTGTGGAGAGGAAGAAGGTCCCCCTGAGCTTCCTCTGCTTCAGGCTGAGCCTCCCAGCTCCCTCAGCCTCTCCCACCCCAGTCCAGTGCTGGACGTGATGCAGGAGAGACCACCCAGATTACTGGGACAGGCAAATCCCAACCAGTTCACTCTGTGCCCTTCTCTGCTGATGGCTGGGAGCAGAGGGACTGACAACTGCAGTTCCCAGAGCTGGGAAGAGCTAGGGCCAGGGCAGGTGACCCTGGCAGGTGACTCACTTGGGGACATTTATCATCTCTAAGTGCCGTTATCCTGCAGCTGCCACGCTCGCCCCAGCCAGCCCTTACGTGGAGCTCCTGGGGGGGGTCCTGGCACCTCCTCTCCTCCGCGGGCCCCCGCTGGTGCCGCGCAGCCCCCGCACGTGCTTCAGCATCCAGGCGCGCAGGTTGCCCAGGCAGGTGTGCTCCGAGAGCACGATCCGCGGCCAGGGGTTGCAGTCGGCCATGTCCAGGGCCGCCACCGCCACCGCCCGGCCCACCTGCCCGGGAGAGGCACGGTGAGGGGGCACGAGGAGACGGGAGGGACAGGACAGTGCGGGGCACAGCCAGAGGGCACAGCGAGAAGGGGAGCACAGGGGAAGAAAGGGGGACACGGGGAAGGAAGGACACAGTGGGAGGCACTGGGGAGAAGAGCAGTAGTGAGGGGCTCACAGGGAGGGGAAGGCACCAGAAGAAGGGGGGCACGAGGGGAGATGAGGGCACCAGGAAGGGGGGATTCCAGGAAGGGAGAATGCCAGGGAGTGGGAGCACTGGGGAATGGAGCAGTAGTGAGGAGAGCATAGGGAGGGGAACCCAGCAGGAGAATGGGGGCACGAGGGGAGATGAAGGCACCAGGAAAGGAGAATGCCAGGGAGTGGGAGCACTGGGGAATGGAGCAGTAGTGAGGAGATCATTCCCCTCGAACCCAGCAGGAGAATGGGGGCACGAGGGCAGATGAGGGCACCAGGAAAGGAGAATGCCACGGAGTGGGAGCACTGGGGAATGGAGCAGTAGTGAGGACATCATTCCCCTCGAACCCAGCAGGAGAATGGGGGCACGAGGGCAGATGAGGGCACCAGGAAGGGGGGATTCCAAGAAGAGAGAATGACCGGGAGTGAGGGCACTGGGGAGAGGGGCAGCTCCCTAGAGCTCGGGACAGCAAAGCAAGGGGAGGAAAGAAACCCCAGCCCCACATCCCAGCCCACCCTCTGGATCTCACCCCCCTGCAGGCTGCCCTGGGCCCCCGTACCTGCTCGAAGAGCTCCACGGTGTACCGGGAGGGGAAGGCGGGCGGCGGCGGGGGGCTGGCACGGCCGTTGTCGTGGCAGGCCCCCGGGATGCTGTTCACCGAGCGCCCCGTGTTGTAGTTGCACTCCAGGGTGTAGCTGTGGGGCACGAGGGAGCCTCTGTTACCCCACAAACCAGCGGCAGGGCTGGGGCTATGCCACATTATTCCCCTGGGAGAGGCACTCCAGCAGATTCAGGGCACTGGAAAGGGGGTCCCATTGCACCAGGAAGGGGGTCCTGCTCCAAAGGACACAGAAGTATGGGGAAAGTGGCAGGGTTTTGAGGAGAGCACCCTCCGATGGCAGGAACGGCCCACATAGGGGTGTACCAGAGATCTGCATGATGGGAATCTGGGATGGATGTCTGAGGGTGGCACCCAGAGTGCCAAGGTTCCTGTGAGGAGACCTCTTGGTCACGTCTGGAAGGTGATGGGGAGTGGGGGGGTCCCTGATGGGTAGAGAAAGGGAATTATCTACTGTCAACACCAACAATCCAGAGAGTGGGCAGCTACAGCCTTCCCCTGACCCTCAAGGTGCCTTGGAGCACTTCCTCCTGGAGGAGGAGGGATGGGGAAGTGTGGGCGCGGAGCTGCCAGCTGGGATGGCTCCCATCTGTCCCACTGCCCAGAGACAGCTGCAGGGCCAGCACAGCAGAAAACCTGAGCAGCCCTGTCCCAGTCTGCCTGGGAGCCCACACGTGCACTGTGAGCACTCCCAGCACTTTTTGGGATGTTGCTGTTGGATCAGCAACCTGAGCTGCTCCAGGTCAGTCACAGAACAAAGCTCCCCAGTGACCCAAGCCCAAAGCCCACGTGTGTGTGTGTGCTCCTGTGGGGCTGGACTGGTGCTGGGCACAAAGCAGCAGCTGAGCACAGAGCAAGCGCTGAGGAAAGTGAGAGAACCCCCAGTCTGTGGGTCTGGCTGCCCTGCCCCATGCTATATTCCCAGGAATATCCCATCCCACGTGGGAGAGGGATGGATCACAGGCATCCCCAGCTCACGGGATCACTGATGGGCTGAGACTGGAATCTCACACACAGCCACGGGGATGCTATGCCCACTGCAGCTCTACTTAATTACACCTCAATATAGCCAGGAACATCCAGGAAAGAGGAGAATTCCCCTCAGAAAGATGTGCAAGAGCAGGGAGAAGCAGCCAGAGCAGCTGCAGGAGGGGTGGGGAGGAACAGGAAGGAAAGGAGCCTGGCTGAGCCTGCATCTCAGGAACACAGCAGCACCTGGCACAACCAGGCCCAGCCTCTGCTGACCCGCCCTGGGGCCACTCAGGTGTCTGTGCCACGGAACTGGTTCTCCCTTTGTCCACATCCCCCACCCAGCACAAGCCCTTTGTGCCCCCAGGGTGGCCCCGGAGCTGCCCTACCTGTGGATGATGCCCAGGGCCTTGTAGACGGCCACGCGCCCGCTGCCCTCCTTGGACTGCCCGTCCCGCTTGTCCCGGGCGTACATGTTCTTCTCCGAGAAGTTGCAGCCCGTGAAGTCAAAGTGAGGGCAGTTCAGGGAGATGAGTTTGGGGAACAGCATGTTCTCCACCTGCAGAGTGCAGGGAGCAACAGGGGTGACCGGGGGCCCTTGGCTGCTCGTCCTGCTCCAGTGGGACCAGTGCTGAGCACAGGCTTGCACCAGGGCCCGCTCTGCCCAGTTCCAGGGTCTCACAAGCTCCAGCTGTGCCCAGGCCATGCTGCCCACCCCCCGACGGGCTCTCCTGACAGCCAGCTGGGAGAACACCCTGCTGACCCTTGCCAGCTCCCAGGGGGAATCTCAGACCTCCCGCTGCCCTGGTCACCAAACTGGGGGAGGAGAGAGAGGAGGAAGGAAGGAAAAGGGGAGGAAAAGGAAGGAGCTGTGAAGGGATTCCACGCCCCTCTCCCAGCAGCAGCAGCAGCAGCACTGGGGCCCCCGGGCAGGGGGCAGAGCAGCAGGGGCTCCCAGCAGCCGCGGGTTCGGGCCGTGCCCTCACCTGGTCGTTCTCGTCGCTGAAGCTGTTGCCGTACATGAAGCAGCCGCGCTTGGACGCGTGCCCGTGCAGGTCCACGTAGTAGGCCAGGCCGCTGTCCCGGGGTGCAATGGGCTCTGCGGGCTCGGCAGCCGCGGGGACGGGGGCTGGGGCAGGCGCCCACGGCCCCTCCTCACAGCGCTCGCTGCTGTGGCTCGATGGGAGGATCCAGGCGGCCGGCTCTGTGCTGTCTGACAGCTGGGCATCCTGGGCCGGCGTCCTGGGGCCGCTGCCAGCCAGGCCGGAGCGGGTGCCGGCACGCCAGGTGCCGGGGGAGTTGCGGAGGTTGTTGGTTTTGTCCAGCTCTGATAATGCGGTCTCCACGGCTGGGATGGGACAGTTGGGAGATTTTAAGCTCAGCGAGCTGGTGCTGAGAGGGGAGACAAACGTCCTCCAGTCCGGAGAGCCGGGCAGGACGCGGCTGTGGACGTGGTGGTAGAGCAGGACGGCCTTGGCGCCGTACACGGCGGGGTGCAGCTCGGCGTCGGGGTGCAGGTACTGCCGGTTCAGGTTCACCCCGCGCGAGTCGGTCCTGCAGGGAGAGCCGAGACACCTGAGCGCCTCCCAGGCACCCCGGCAGGGCTGAGCTCGCCTGGGAGCACCGAGGGCTTTGGGCTCTGTCCAAAAATGCCAGCAATGGCCAGACCAGTGGCCAGGGGCTGCCAGAGCTGCACAGCATGGCAGAGTCCTGCACGCTCTTCCCCAGAGACAGCAACGGAGCTGGGAAGGGGCTGGAGCACCAGGAGAGGCTGAGGGAGCCGGAAGGGCTCAGCCTGGAGAAAAGGAGGCTCTGGGGGGACCTTGTCATTCCTGCAACTCCCTGACAGGAGAATGGAGCCATGTGGAGGGGTCAGGTTCTGTTCCCAGAGAGCAAGGTACAGGACCAGAGAACAGCCTCGAGCTGAACCAGGGAAAGTTTAGGTTGGATATTGGGAACACTTTCTTCATGGAAAGGGCTGTCTAGCCCCTAGCACTGGCTGCTCTGGGCTAGGGTGGATTCCCCATCCCTGGAGGGTTTCAAAGCCCTGTGGCTGTGGCACTTGGGGACAGGGGACAGTGGTGGCCTGGGCAGTGCTAGGGGTGCGCCCCTTCATGCTATGACCACGCCCCTTATGGCCCTGGTCACGCCCCCTCGTGGTAATGGCCACGCCCCTCGCTGGGCTCCGCGCCGGCCGCGTCCCCAGAGGCGTGACCGGACAGAGGGGACACGGTGTGACCGGACAGAGGGGACACGGTGTGACCGGACAGTGGGAGTGACCGGACAGAGGGCACACGGTGTGACCGGACAGAGGGGACACGGTGTGACCGGACAGTGGGAGTGACCGGACAGAGGGGACACGGTGTGACCGGACAGTGGGAGTGACCGGACAGAGGGGACACGGAGTGACCGGACAGTGGGAGTGACCGGACAGAGGGGAACCCCTTCATGCTATGACCACGCCCCCTATGGCCCTGGTCACGCCCCCTCGTTGTAATGGCCACGCCCCTCGCCGGGCTCCGCGCCGGCCGCGTCCCCAAAGGCGTGACCGGACAGAAGGGACACGGTGTGACCGGACAGTGGGTGTGACCGGACAGAGGGGACACGGTGTGACCGGACAGTGGGTGTGACCGGACAGAGGGGACACGGTGTGACCGGACAGTGGGTGTGACCGGACAGAGGGGACACGGAGTGACCGGACAGTGGGCGTGAGTGGACACTGGTGTGTGACTGGACCGCAGGTGTGAGTGGACAGTGTGACCGGACACTGGGTGTGACCAGGGAGTGGGTGTGAGTGGACAGCGGGTGTGAGAGGACAGTAGGTGTGAGTGGACAGTAGTTGTGAGTGGACAGTGGGTGTGAGTGGACACAGGCGTGACCGGACACAGGTGTGACCAGGGAGTGGGTGTGAGTGGACAGCGGGTGTGAATGGACAGCGGGTGTGAGTGGACACAGGCGTGATCAGACACAGGTGTGACCAGACCCAGGGCTGTGCAGTGACCCATACACGGAGCACAGGTGTGCACGGAGGCACGGACACTGTACGTGCCACACGTGGGTGAGCACAGAGGCACACACAGGTGCCCCGGCACACACACCTGTAAGAACACAGGCGCTCCCAACCCCCGTGCACAGCCCCGCGGGTGACACACCCCCACGGGCAGAGGCGGGGGTCAAACCTGACCCCTCCCCACTCCACAGGAACCCCCCCACCCGGGGCCCACCCGTGGGTGGCACCAGCAGATCCCTGGGCTCCTTTAAGCCACCCCAGGCAGAGCAGGGGGGTCCACCAAGGCACTGCCCCCCCGGGGTGGGGATGGGGGTGCAGGGGGGTCTGGACAGCCCCTCCCCCCCACCACGCACAGCCATCTCCAATTAGGAAGAAATGTAAAGCATACGGAGCGATTCTAAGGAAAAAATAATAAAATAAATCAGTTCGTTCATTGGTGGGGAGGGCTGGGAAGGTGAGGGGCTCCAGGTGTCCACCCCTGATCCTGTAAGCAGGTGAAACACGAGGGGATGGGGATCACCCACCCACCCAGGGACAGCGGGACAGGGAAAGCCAAAGCGGTCACAGGGGGTGGAAAAACCTGGACGTGTGTCTCCCCAAAAAAATAAACCTCCCCAGAAGCCCCGATTTGACCCAAAGTTCCTGCGGGCACTGCCCTGTGCCCCGTGTCCTGCTGCACCCTGGGCACCCCTCGGCAGCCAGAACACGGGGTGCCCTCCAGAGAGCAGCTCAGTGTCCAGAGATCATGGCCAGGGCCCAGTTTTTGAGGGCCAGGGTGGCGTTCTGCAGGTAAATCCAGGAGGAATAGGTGAAGCTCATCAAGTGGTCCCTCACGCACTCCCACGTCACGTCCCCACTGGAAGAGCAAGGACAAGGGATTATGGGGGGGCTCAGAGCCACAAGGGCTGAGGGACACGGGGGACACAGGCAGGGCAGGGCTGGGGACACCCCGGGCTGGCACAGGACACACAAGTAGGGCAGGGGACACCCAGGGCTGGCGGGCAGCGTGGTGGGGCTGCTCACCTGCAGGAGTCGAGGCAGCTCTGCCAGCCCCGCTGCAGCACCGCAGCCAGGCCCTGCAGCAGCGGCAGCAGGCAGCTGTGCAGCACGAACAGCAGCAGCTCCCGCGCACACTCGGCCAGGTGCAGCAGCGCCTCGGGGAGCCGGCTCTGCAGCTGGGGCAGCAGAGATGGCGTGGGGTGAGCAGCAGCCCCTCCTGGGGCCTGCCTGCCCGGGATGGCCCAGCTCACCCTCCCTCCCCAGCAGCCTGCAGCTCGCTCTCCCCACGCTCCCCTTCCCCAGCGCACCGCGCTCTGTGAGACGCTGGTGCCACCCCACTGCCACCAGAACGCTGGCTTCTGGAGCACCAGGGAGTGCTCTGAGCCCTCTGCCTTCCCCAGCCACTGCCAACAGCTGGAGTGGGCTGGTGCCACATCTGGGAGGACAGATGGCATCAGAGACCTGCCGTGGGGCTTCCTTCCAGAACACCAGCACGGGGGGCTCCTGCCAGCAGCGGCAGCAAACACGTCACCACCCCACCTCAGGGCTCCCCAGTAGAGCTTCCCCAGGGCTACAAGCCCCCCCGTGGTACCCCCTGTCCCCCCAGCCCTGGGAGCCCCCACTCACCCAGTTGCTGAGCCAGGGCAGGCTGCCGTGGAGCCAGGAGAGCAGCGAGCAGCCCTGCTGGGTCACAGCCCGGGCCACCTCAGCGCTCGTTTTCCAGAGCAGCTCCAGCTGTGGCCACAGCACAGACAGGGCCACGGAGCCGTGCTGGGCCAGGCTGTGCTCCAGCCACCTGCAAGGAGTCCTCAGATGAGGCCAGGGCTGCACCACGGCACCCGTGGCACCGCACGGAGCCGCCAGCACGGGGTGCACGGGGCAGAGCTGCAGTGCGAGCTGAAGCGCTTCCAGGCAGGGCTGGGGAACAGCTCCCAGCTCCCTGCCAAGCCCTCGCTGTGCTGCACAAGAGCCTCACACCCAGCCCAGGCAGCCAGCACGGCGGTGTGACACACCTGTAGCCCTGCAGGCAGGCACGGGACACCTTCTGCCAGGCCAGCTGGGAGGCGGGCAGCACGCCGGAGGAGCGGAGCAGCCGGGCACAAGACGAGGCTGCAAGAGACAAGTGTGCTCCTTGAGCAGCCCTTGGCTGTGGGGACACGTGTCCGTCTGTCCCCACGGGCTCTGGGGACACACGGCTCGAGCTGTGCTGTGGAACCCCTCAGGAGATGCTCCAGGAGGGGACAGATGGACAGAGCCCCCTGAGCAGACCCTCCCAAAGGGGCACAGGCAGTCTGCCTGCAGTGCCTGCCCCCCCTAGGGCGACAGAGCCCCCTGAGCAGACCCTCCCAAAGGGGAGCAGGCAGTCTGCCTGCAGCGTCTGCATCCCCCAGATGGACAGAGCCCCCTGAGCAGACCCTCCCAAAGGGGCACAGGCAGTCTGCCTGCAGCACCTGCATCCCCCAGGGCCCCCAGATGGACAGACAGACAGGCCCCACTGCTCACAGCAGCCACAGGGACACAGAGGGGAACAGCCACAGGAGTGATCCCAGGCGGGAGGATCACTCCTGAGGAAGGGGAAAAAGCCTCAAGCTTGTGACAGGGAAGGTTTAGGCTGTCAACAAAAGCCAGTTTGTTCATGGCTGTGCAGGCTGCCCAGGGCAACGGTGGAGTTTCCATCCCTTGGGGGGTTTAAAAGCCTGTGGATGTGGCACTTGAGGGGACGTGGGACAGCGGTGGCTGGCAGTGCTGGGGGATGCCTGATGCTGCCAGAGCAGTTTTGATCCCGGATGATTCCCCGAGGGCCCAGCATACCCTGGAAGGAGCCGTGTGTCTGCACGTCGTGCAGGACGAAGGCAGCAGCGCAGAGCAGCAGGACGAGCAGCAGCCGGGACCAGGGGAAGCCCCGGCCCTTCATCTTGCACAGCAGCTCCTGGGCAGGGGGACAGGGCCCTGTCACTGCCACCGCAGGCTGCTGACACCAGGGAGGCCCCAGCACAGCAGCCCCACCCACCCTGGCTTCCCAGCCATGTGGCATTCACATTCTCTGAAAATCCCTTCACCAGGATTTTTCTCCTGGGAAGCTGAGAAGCCTCAGAGAAAAAGGAAAACAATTTTTATCTAATTTGCTTCTCCTGTGCTTTGCTCATGTAGAATGTGTTTGGAGATTGTTTCATTGGATTCTGCTGTGAGTTGTTTTCACTCATTGGCCTTTCAATGTCCAGCTGTGTTGGGACTCTGGAGAGTCAGGAGTTTTCATTATTATTTTGTAGCATTCTCTAAGTATCCTTTCTGTATTTTTTAGCATAGTATAGCTTAGTATTCTTTAATATAATACAGTATTATAAAGTAATAAATTAGCCTTCTGAGAACATGGAGTCAGAACATTCCTCCCTGCCACGAGGGCCCCTGCAAATACAACACCAGCCAGGACAGAGACACCTGCTGAGCAGCTGGGGGTTGGACAGGGACCAGCACATCTGTCCCCAGCGTGTCCCCACGGGGCCCTGGCCCTGCACGTGGCCCCAGCACGGAGCTGAGATCTGGCCATGGCTGCTGCCAGGCAGTGCCAGCCCATCCCATCCTGTCCCTCACCTTGCAGGCAGTGTCACAGGCTGCCACGTCCATGTCCCCCCTGGCTGCCAGCTCCTCGTTTGTCACCTTGAAGGAGCGAACCGTTTCCTGCAGTGACTGCTGCACCTTGGGGACAGCAGGAGCAGCGTCAGGACCCCCCTGTCCCCAGAGACCCCCTGGGCAGCCACGGCACCAGGAGGGGACACTGCCAGCTCAGGGAGCTCCCCCAGCAGCACGGGGAGCTCTCCCAGCCCACAGCTGCCCCGTGCCCCTGCTCACCCCTACCTTCTTGCTGCTGCTCTCCCAGGACTCCAGCAGGTGGTTCAGCAGCAAACTGGGGGGGAAGGAGAAGAGGGGCTTGGTCAGGAGCTGCCAGAAGGAATGGAGGTGTCCCACAGGCTCTGCAGGTGAGCACTGGCCGCCCTGGGAGGCACAGCTGCACTGACCTGGACTGAGCGAGGTGTTTGGTGTAGAGCTGCCTCCAGACGCTGAAGCTCAGAGGGTCCAGGCTCAGGCACTGGCTCAAGGAGGTCAGAAGCTGGGGAGGGGGCACAGCAGGGCGTTAGGTGTGACCCCCTGCCCAGCACACCAGACACCCCACACGTGCCACAGCCAGCCAGCTCCTGAGGCACTAGAGCTGCAGCACCCCTGCCCACACAGGGGTGGAACTGGATGGTCTCCAAGGGCCCTCCCACCCAAGCCATTCTAGGATTTGCTGACTCCTGTCCCTGGCAGCAGGCAACATGACCCCGGCTATAGGAATGTGCCCCCTGTTGACAGAGTGACAAAACTGTCCTTTGTCTCCTTAAAAAGGAAAAAAGCCCAGAAGTTCCTTTCCTCAGTTAGGGATAAAGACACCTCACAGGAGCTGGGGACTTCACCTCAAACTTAAGGGTAGCCAATTAGCCAAGAGCCAAGAAGTCCCACCTAAGCAATTTACTAGAAAAATAAGAGAACAAAGAAACTAAGCCATTCTAGGATTTGCTGACTCCTGTCCCTGGCAGCAGGCAACATGACCCCGGCTATAGGAATGTGCCCCCTGTTGACAGAGTGACAAAACTGTCCTTTGTCTCCTTAAAAAGGAAAAAAACCCAGAAGTTCCTTTCCTCAGTTAGGTATAAAGACACCTCACAGGAGCTGGGGACTTCACCTCAAACTTAAGGGTAGCCAATTAGCCAAGAGCCAAGAAGTCCCACCTAAGCAATTTACTAGAAAAATAAGAGAACAAAGAAACTAATTGCCTTTGTGAGGTGTTTTACCAAGAGCAAAAACCTCTTACACCTAGCTCAGTTTTTCTCTGTAAAGAGTTTTGGTATTTTACCTTTCATTAAAACTTTTTTGTTCCCAACACTACCACAGAAGCCACCCTGCTGATTTTATGCCTTCTAAGGCAGCTGAGCTATCCAGGGTGTGAAATAGATCTCCAAAAGCATAAGAGCCCTGACTCAGAGACCCCTACTCCACCTGCCCTGCCGCCACCATCCTGCTGACAGCACTGTCCCCTCTCCAGGAGCCCCAGAGGCACCCCGTGGCCGTGCCAGGCTCACCTCCTCCTTCATGGCGGGCGGGCAGGCAGGCGTGGCTCGGGACAGGAAGGAGGGGAAGTAGGTGTGCAGGGCAGCCTCGGGCCGGGCGCCCAGGGCCAGCACCTTCAGCCGGGGGTACAGGCGCCGCAGCTGCTCCTGCAGGCTGGGGAAGAGCGCCAGGCTGCTGAGGGCCAGCGGGCACCAGGGTGGCAGCAGGGACACCCAGGGCCCGCCCTGTGGCACGGCTGTGCCTGGATGGAGCAGCGTACCTGGGGGACAGCGAGTTGTTGGGCATGTCTCCTGGGAAGCTGAGAAGCCTCAGAGAAAAAGGAAAACAATTTTTATCTAATTTGCTTCTCCTGTGCTTTGCTCATGTAGAATGTGTTTGGAGATTGTTTCATTGGATTCTGCTGTGAGTTGTTTTCACTCATTGGCCTTTCAATGTCCAGCTGTGTTGGGACTCTGGAGAGTCAGGAGTTTTCATTATTATTTTGTAGCATTCTCTAAGTATCCTTTCTGTATTTTTTAGCATAGTATAGCTTAGTATTCTCTAATATAATACAGTATTATAAAGTAATAAATTAGCCTTCTGAGAACATGGAGTCAGAACATTCCTCCCTGCCACGAGGGCCCCTGCAAATACAACACCAGCCAGGACAGAGACACCTGCTGAGCAGCTGGGGGTTGGACAGGGACCAGCACATCTGTCCCCAGCGTGTCCCCACGGGGCCCTGGCCCTGCACGTGGCCCCAGCACGGAGCTGAGATCTGGCCATGGCTGCTGCCAGGCAGTGCCAGCCCATCCCACCCTGTCCCTCACCTTGCAGGCAGTGTCACAGGCTGCCACGTCCATGTCCCCCCTGGCTGCCAGCTCCTCGTTTGTCACCTTGAAGGAGCGAACCGTTTCCTGCAGTGACTGCTGCACCTTGGGGACAGCAGGAGCAGCGTCAGGACCCCCCTGTCCCCAGAGACCCCCTGGGCAGCCACGGCACCAGGAGGGGACACTGCCAGCTCAGGGAGCTCCCCCAGCAGCACGGGGAGCTCTCCCAGCCCACAGCTGCCCCGTGCCCCTGCTCACCCCTACCTTCTTGCTGCTGCTCTCCCAGGACTCCAGCAGGTGGTTCAGCAGCAAACTGGGGGGGAAGGAGAAGAGGGGCTTGGTCAGGAGCTGCCAGAAGGAATGGAGGTGTCCCACAGGCTCTGCAGGTGAGCACTGGCCGCCCTGGGAGGCACAGCTGCACTGACCTGGACTGAGCGAGGTGTTTGGTGTAGAGCTGCCTCCAGACGCTGAAGCTCAGAGGGTCCAGGCTCAGGCACTGGCTCAAGGAGGTCAGAAGCTGGGGAGGGGGCACAGCAGGGCGTTAGGTGTGACCCCCTGCCCAGCACACCAGACACCCCACACGTGCCACAGCCAGCCAGCTCCTGAGGCACTAGAGCTGCAGCACCCCTGCCCACACAGGGGTGGAACTGGATGGTCTCCAAGGGCCCTCCCACCCAAGCCATTCTAGGATTTGCTGACTCCTGTCCCTGGCAGCAGGCAACATGACCCCGGCTATAGGAATGTGCCCCCTGTTGACAGAGTGACAAAACTGTCCTTTGTCTCCTTAAAAAGGAAAAAAGCCCAGAAGTTCCTTTCCTCAGTTAGGTATAAAGACACCTCACAGGAGCTGGGGACTTCACCTCAAACTTAAGGGTAGCCAATTAGCCAAGAGCCAAGAAGTCCCACCTAAGCAATTTACTAGAAAAATAAGAGAACAAAGAAACTAATTGCCTTTGTGAGGTGTTTTACCAAGAGCAAAAACCTCTTACACCTAGCTCAGTTTTTCTCTGTAAAGAGTTTTGTTATTTTACCTTTCATTAAAACTTTTGTTCCCAACACTACCACAGAAGCCACCCTGCTGATTTTATGCCTTCTAAGGCAGCTGAGCTATCCAGGGTGTGAAATAGATCTCCAAAAGCATAAGAGCCCTGACTCAGAGACCCCTACTCCACCTGCCCTGCCGCCACCATCCTGCTGACAGCACTGTCCCCTCTCCAGGAGCCCCAGAGGCACCCCGTGGCCGTGCCAGGCTCACCTCCTCCTTCATGGCGGGCGGGCAGGCAGGCGTGGCTCGGGACAGGAAGGAGGGGAAGTAGGTGTGCAGGGCAGCCTCGGGCCGGGCGCCCAGGGCCAGCACCTTCAGCCGGGGGTACAGGCGCCGCAGCTGCTCCTGCAGGCTGGGGGAAGAGCGCCAGGCTGCTGAGGGCCAGCGGGCACCAGGGTGGCAGCAGGGACACCCAGGGCCCGCCCTGTGGCACGGCTGTGCCTGGATGGAGCAGCGTACCTGGGGGACAGCGAGTTGTTGGGCATGAAGGCGAAGTCCAGGAGGGGGAAGAAGTCCTTGGGGCCGATCATGCCGAAGCCTTTGGTGAGGTTGGGGTGCATCCTGCAGGACAGAGGCCTGAGCTGCTGGGGTCTGGCAAGGGCAGCACTGCAGAGCCCCGGCAGCCCCCGGGACACAGGGGTCACTCACAGCAGGAGCCGGTCCAGGTAGGAAACGGCGTAGGGCGAGAGGGACTTGATGCCGAGCACCGGGAGCATGACGCCGAGCCACACTGCAGGGACAGAGGGAGGGTCTGGCTGGGCTCTCCCTGCACCAGGACAAGCCAAACCACCCAGGCACAGGCAGGCAGATCCCCCGGGAAGGGCTCCAGGGATAGCTGTGCTGCAGAGCAGAGGAGCAGCACGCTGCCTGTCCTTCCAGGCAGGATGGTTCTCCCAGGATCCACCCATTTTCCTGTCCTGGCTGGGGGAAGCTGCACTGCAGACCTTGAGGATCCTCCCCAACCTTTCCCACCCCTCGGCAGCACCACCAGCCGGAGTGCAGGTGTGCTGGCACTCCCGGAGGGGATCCCACACTGCAGACCTTGAGGATCCTCCCCAGCCTTTCCCACCCCTCGGCCGTGCCACCAGCAGGAGTGCAGGTGTGCTGGCATTCCCTGGAATCCCACCCCGCTGCTCCTTGAGGATCCTCCCCAGCCTTTCCCACCCCTCAGCAGCACCACCAGCAGGAGTGCAGGTGTGCTGGCACTCCCGGAGGGGATCCCACCCCGCTGCTCCTTGAGGATCCTTCCCAGCCTTTCCCACCCCTCAGCGGCACCACCAGCAGGAGTGCAGGTGTGCTGGCACTCCCGGAGGGGATCCCACCCCGCTGCTCCTTGAGGATCCTTCCCAGCCTTTCCCACCCCTCAGCAGTGCCACCAGCCGGAGTGCAGGTGTGCTGGCACTCCCGGAGGGGATCCCACACTGCAGACCTTGAGAATCCTTCCCAGCCTTTCGGGGAAGAGCGCCAGGCTGCTGAGGGCCAGCGGGCACCAGGGTGGCAGCAGGGACACCCAGGGCCCGCCCTGTGGCACGGCTGTGCCTGGATGGAGCAGCGTACCTGGGGGACAGCGAGTTGTTGGGCATGAAGGCGAAGTCCAGGAGGGGGAAGAAGTCCTTGGGGCCGATCATGCCGAAGCCTTTGGTGAGGTTGGGGTGCATCCTGCAGGACAGAGGCCTGAGCTGCTGGGGTCTGGCAAGGGCAGCACTGCAGAGCCCCGGCAGCCCCCGGGACACAGGGGTCACTCACAGCAGGAGCCGGTCCAGGTAGGAAACGGCGTAGGGCGAGAGGGACTTGATGCCGAGCACCGGGAGCATGACGCCGAGCCACACTGCAGGGACAGAGGGAGGGTCTGGCTGGGCTCTCCCTGCACCAGGACAAGCCAAACCACCCAGGCACAGGCAGGCAGATCCCCCGGGAAGGGCTCCAGGGATAGCTGTGCTGCAGAGCAGAGGAGCAGCACGCTGCCTGTCCTTCCAGGCAGGATGGTTCTCCCAGGATCCACCCATTTTCCTGTCCTGGCTGGGGGAAGCTGCACTGCAGACCTTGAGGATCCTCCCCAACCTTTCCCACCCCTCGGCAGCACCACCAGCCGGAGTGCAGGTGTGCTGGCACTCCCGGAGGGGATCCCACACTGCAGACCTTGAGGATCCTTCCCAGCCTTTCCCACCCCTCGGCAGTGCCACCAGCAGGAGTGCAGGTGTGCTGGCATTCCCTGGAATCCCACCCCGCTGCTCCTTGAGGATCCTCCCCAGCCTTTCCCACCCCTCAGCAGTGCCACCAGCCGGAGTGCAGGTGTGCTGGCACTCCCGGAGGGGATCCCACCCCGCTGCTCCTTGAGGATCCTCCCCAGCCTTTCCCACCCCTCAGCAGTGCCACCAGCCGGAGTGCAGGTGTGCTGGCACTCCCGGAGGGGATCCCACCCCGCTGCTCCTTGAGGATCCTCCCCAGCCTTTCCCACCCCTCAGCAGCACCACCAGCAGGAGTGCAGGTGTGCTGGCACTCCCGGAGGGGATCCCACACTGCAGACCTTGAGAATCCTTCCCAGCCTTTCCCACCCCTCAGCAGTGCCACCAGCCGGAGTGCAGGTGTGCTGGCACTCCCGGAGGGGATCCCACACTGCAGACCTTGAGGATCCTCCCCAACCTTTCCCACTCCTCAGCAGCGCCACCAGCAGGAGTGCAGGTGTGCTGGCACTCCCGGAGGGGATCCCACCCCGCTGCTCCCGGCTCTCACCCTTCAGGCCCTCGTGGAGGTCGGTGAATCCAGCCTGCCCCAGCGCCCACAGGACGGTCAGGCACTTGGCCGGCCGGTTCTGGTGGGAGCGCAGCACCTCCAGGTACTGCGGGAGGAGAGCACAGCTCAGCTGGGACCAGCGCCACCCAGCCCCGCCCAAACAGGCCTGGAGCCCTGGCACCAGCAGCCCCCTGCCCCTGGAAGGGACCCACAGCTCCAGGGGAGGCCAGGAGCAAGAGAGGGAACCCCAAACCCAGCCCTGGGGGTGCAGGGGGAACCCCATACCCAGCCCTGGGGGTGCAGGGGGAACCCCAAACCCAGCTCTGGGGGTGCAGGGGAACAGGGGAAACCCCAAACCCAGCTCTGGGGTGCAGGGGGACAGAGGGAACCCCAAACCCAGCCCTGGGGGTGCAGGGGAAACCCCAAACCCAGCTCTGGGGGTGCAGGGCACAGAGGGAACCCCAAACCCAGCCCTGGGGGTGCAGGGGAAACCCCAAACCCAGCTCTGGGGGTGCAGGGGAAACCCCAAACCCAGCTCTGGGGGTGCAGGGCTGCGGGGTAGGCAGGCAGAACCCACTGGGGACACCAGTCCCTCGGCAGGGAGGGCAGGGAGGTACAAGGGCTTATTGTTGAGCAGCCCCCCAGGCTTACAGCACCCACAGACCGAGCCGGCTGAGCCCAGCTCACCTTGCCCAGGTTGGTGGTGGCAATCCGGGGCCTGTACAGCAGGAGGGCCTGGATGCAGATCCTGTAGCCGTGCAGGGACTCCCCTGGAGCAGAGATGGGGAGGCCCTGCTCAGCCACGGCCTCCAGGGAGGAATTCCAAAGAGGCCAGGAGGAGCAGAGCCCGGGGGAGCACAGGGGCTGACCTTGGGCCTTGTCCAGCTCCTGCAGCATGGTGTAGATGCAGTGGTCAAAGAAGAGCTCCAGGACGTCCGTGGCCTTTGCCAGCAGGGAGCGGATGATGCTCCTCAGCTCCTTGCTCACCAGGCAGTACGGGTAGTCTGGGGTGGGGAGAGAGGGCACTTTAGGGACTCCCTGCTCTGGAGAGCTCCAGCAGGGCTGGAGGAACCAGCCCAGTGTGAGGTGGGTGCAGGGAGTGCCTCATCCTCATCCTCATCCCAGCTGGGCAGCCCTGGCCTCCTCCCCAGGGACCCCGTGCCAGAGGCTGTGGCATTGACATGCTCTGAAAAAAAATCCCTTTGCCCAGGATTTTTCTCCTGGGAAGCTGAGCAGCCTCAGAGAAAAGGAACAACTCTTATCTCATTTCCTTCTCCTGTGTGGAATGTGTTTGGAGATTGTTTAACTGGTTTTTGCTCATTGGTCTTTCAGTGCCCAGCTGTGTCAAGATTCTGGAGAGGGTCACGAGTTTTCATTATTAGCTTTTTAGCATTTAATAAGTATCCTTTTTGTATTCTTTAATATAATATAGTATCATAAAGTAATAAATTAGCCTTCTGAGAACCTGGAGTCAGATTCATCACTCCTGCCTTTGCTGGGACATCCCCAGCAAATACAGTGAGAGGCAGCTAGCTACCCCAGCCCTGAGGGATGGCTTCCCATGGAATGCTGCTGCTGTGGCATGGACAGGGCTCTGGAGAGGACACTGCTCCCCTGCCCCTTGCCAGAAATGGCATTCTCAGAGTGAGTGGGGCCCAGCTGCTCAGGCAGGACAGGGATGCCCCAGCATCCCTCCAGCACTGGGGGCAGGCAGCTGAGAGTGAGCTCCCCAAGTCCCCAGCAGCAGCAGCAGCAGCAGAGCTCAGGGACCCCTGTGCAGAAGGGCTGACTGCAGAAACCCCAATTTACCAACAGCACGGGCAGTGTCCCTGTGTGTGTGGCCAGGAGAAGGCTGTCCCTTGTGGGGACAGCCCAGAGCCAAGCAGATGCTCCCTGTTTTGCTCCCAGAGCCCCACCACCCCCGGGCAGAGCACACGGACCGTGGGGGTGCTGGCTCAGCACGGGGTCGCTCCGGGGTGCCTGCAGCTTGTAGTTGAGGTAGCCAGCCAGGTCCTTCACCCACACCGAGGGGTTCTCGGGGAACACACTGCGGCTCTTCTGCAGCTCCTTCTGCAGATCCGCCAGGTCCAGCTGCCAGGGACAGACAGACAGACAGACAGGCTCAACCAGATGAACTGGGCAAAACGCACAGGGAGGGGAAAGTTAACTCTGGCTCCTAAGGGGCCACGGAGGGCAATGCTTCCAGCTCCACCCCCAGGCCACGTGGAAAAGCCCTGCCAGAGCTCCAGAGCTGCCTGGGGCAGCTGGCTCCTGGCCAGGGAGCCCCTCAGCCCAAAGCAAGGACGTGCTCATGGCAAGCAGAAACCTGGGGAGATCCCAGCCACGGCTGGTGCACACTGCACACCCAGAGTGTCCCAGGGAGGAAACAGCCATGAGCAACCAAACCCACCTGGTAACAACCCACAGCAGCAAACCAGGCAGCAGCAGCAGCTCCCTGCCCTCTCCTGCACTGCCAGCCAGGCACGCCCATTCCCTGCTCTTACACCTGGATGCTCCATGGGGCTGCTCCACCAGGGCTTGCTGCAAGGCTCAGACTCTGTGAGAGCTCCCTGAGAGAGGATTCCCTCACTGAGCCGGGTGTGCACCACCCTGGGCACCTCGCCTCAGCCCCACCCCGTGAGAGGAATTCCACACAAAGCAGCTGGTGCCACACAGGGAATGAAACCTGTCCCAAAACCCCATCCGTGACCTGACAGTGGCTGTCCCTGCTGAGCACTGGGACAGCTCTGTCTGCCCTGCCTGCCCTGGGGACACGGGAATGCCACACAGTGCTGTCACTGTGGGCCAAAGCTGGATGTGCAGAGCTGCTGGGACGATGCAGAGAAGCCCCAGCAGTGCAGGGGGATGCAGAGAGAAGCCCCTCGTCTGGGGGGAGTGGAGGTCCCAGGGCATGGGGGGGAGCTGAGCCAGCTGATCCTGCCAGCCCTGGGGACACACAGCCTGCCCCGGCCAGCTCTGGAGCCCGCCGTGCCCAGGCAGGGCCAGGACAGGCACGGCACACACAGACAGCTTCTGCAGAGCCAGCCAGAGCACAGCAAGCCAGGAGAGCCTCGCGGGGAGCAGAGATCCCTTCCAGCCGCGGGGCAGCGCTGCCGTGCGGCCCGCGGGGAGACCGGCCCGCGGGGCACGGCCGGCTCTGCACGGCTCCGGTCACCGGAACAGCGGGCCGGCACCGGCGGGGCACACTCACGGCTTTCACGGCTTCCTCCAGCGAGCGGCACCGGCCGGGCTGGGCTCCAGCGTCGCTGCCCGGTGCCTTCTTGCCGCTCTTGCCGGTGTGCTGCTTCCGCGGCGGCGGCTCCGGGGCCGCGGCCGGGGGCACCTGCTCCTTGTTCTGCCTGCGCAGCGCCCGCTCGAAGCCCCGCTGGAAGATGGTGCTGGAGGTGGCGATGGGAGCTGGGGACGGGAAGCAAACGGTGACCGACAGCGCCGCGGGCAGCGCGGCACCGGGACGGCACGGAGCCGGGGCACCGGAGCGAACCGCAGCGCCCGGCCCTGCAGCGGCCCGGGATGGGTACAGCGGCCGGGATGGGCACAGCGGCCGGGATGGGCACAGCGGCGGGATGTTTATCGCCCCGGCCGGCGGCACGGGGTGGTCATCGCCAAAATGCGAGACTGCATCCCACAAGGATTTTTGCCTTCTATTTATTTCCCAAAATAATGCATATGCACAAGCCCAGCACCGCCCATCCCCGCGCTGTGTTAAAATGAGGATTTTAGTCTTTTACACGTGCGCAGTTCTCCTCCTGAATTGGGTCGGTGGTCTGGAGCTGGGTCAGTGCTCCCAGGGATGAAGCCAGGAACGTCTTCGTCAGGTCTCTGTGACCCTCTGCACCATCCAAGGCCCCTTCGTGATGGATTGGCGCAGAGTCCGGGGCTGGGCATTGTTCTGAATCATTGCTTTCAGTGTGTTTCTATAATGGTTCGCTTGCTCCTCTTCCTCCTACAAATGAGCTCATAATAACACAATGGTAACAATTCGCTTCAGCTTAAGCATCTAATAATCACTAATGTAATACATGTTATAGAATAATTCGTGCTAAATGAAATAAATTTTAAAAACCCCACGGCATTCGGTGTACTACAACCAGCGGTGGAAAAGGCAGTGATCAGAGTGAGCGACAGACTCACACAGTAAGGCAGCTGTCTCCAGGGATGGACATCCAAGGGATTTTTCGTCTGACCAGGCTCCAGCAGGACGCATATTGAAAAGCATCATCAGAAGTTTTTCCCAGAAAGTTTTTCCCCCGACAGGATTCCAGCAATTATCCACCAGTTCCGGAAAACGCGGTAATACACCAAAGAGGGACCCCAGCAGGGCACGATAAACCGTATAAAACGGACCCTCTGAGGAATGCTCTTTGGAGACCCACCTGGATTTTGGTACGGAAAGGACCAAATCCTAAATCTGCCCGATTCTGATCGCCCGGCTCAGAGTAGATTTTAGCTTGTGGTTTATTCCAAATTTAAACTTTGATAATTTAATAAATAAAATATTAAATGGAAGTATCCATTCATAACAATTAATTATTATTATTGAATATGAATTGGTTCCAACCCTCAGCTAAAATGTTAAATTTTTATAATCATAATTCAGCAGGCCGCTGCAGGCACATCGCGCGCTCCATCCCGACCCGGTGCCAGGCGCTCCCGCCGCCGGCAGCAGCGGGCACGGCTGTGTCGGTGCGGGAGGGCTCGGTCCTGCGGGCAGCAAAGCGAGGACAAGGTCACGGCTAACCCGTGAGTATTCTTAACAGGGGCACAGGAATCACAGCTAATCCTTAATTTATTTTGAGTCTGTCATTAACCATAGAAACCAGGGGAGAGCGCGAACGCAGTCCCCCACTACCACAAATTATGCAGTCGAGTTTCCCGCATTTGGGGAAATCGCAGGGGTCAGCACACCCGGAGTGCAAGGGATGAGCCTCGCCCTGGGAAAACCACCTGCCTGATCATGGTGTCTCCCCTGCCAGGTAAGTATGCCTGCCCCGCCGCGCCGCCCCCGTGCCCCGCCCGCCGCACGCCTCGCCAGCACACGGCCAGCCCGAGCCCGGCCCCGCTCCCGCCCGGCCCCGCGCTGCGGCCC